AAAAATGTGTAAATATTATTAAAAGATTCAGAGAATCCAGAGAAATCTCTGTATACAACGGATAAGGCCAAAGCCTATCCTTGTCTCTCTGGGGGTAGTGTATCAACAACACTCATCACTGCTTCCACTGATCCAAAAGTCTATGATACAAGAAAAAGAAAACATTTATGAACAACATCCATAAACACCGCTGCCTTCTTTGAGCCCATGCTAATTTTAGATGGGCTAAAGGTGTGTAAAAACTGTGCTACAGTCTGGATAATCTGAGCTTTTTTTGGAAATCACAAATGTGGCATCCTCTGGGCTGAAGAGGAAATGAACCATCTAACTACAGATCACTGTGGACCAAAAAAGCCTGCACTTTTGATATTTTTTTTTTTTTTTACGTGTAATCCAACAGCATGCCACCAAGTCCAGGTTTGTAAATCTGCCTTAGCATCTTCTTTTGTCACACCAGTTACTGGCCTGGGAGCTCCAAGTTCAACATCCTTTGTCTAATATATCCACTCCTCTGCACACGTCCAAGCCATCTCAGCCTAACCTTCTAACTTTGTCTCTAAACCACTGAGCTGTCCCTCTAATGTACTTTAATCTTTTCCATCCTCGTCACTCCCAATGAAAATTGCCTCCTTCAGCTTGGTTTCCTGTCTCCTGTCTGCTACTTCCCTTTCACTATTGCTTCTATTCTTCTCACACTCTTTTAAACCTCTAATAGCATAGCTGACTTCAGGTATATGAACTAATCCACCTTAACTACATCTATGCCTTGTTCGCCTTCCACCTGTCTCACTGACTTTCATTCCTCTTCTTTGCAGTGCATACCTGCACCTCTCCAGGGTCTCTTCAAACTGTTCCCTACTGTCAAAACAGAGCACAATGTCATCTGGAAACATGCCTGACCTTACGTTAACCTGTCCTTCACCACTGCAAACAAGAAGGGGTTCAGAGCAGACCGCCGATGCAATCTCTCTCCAACCTTGAATATCTGTCACTCCTGAGTTCCTCATACAGTGTCACAGGTCCTCTCTTGGCACTCATCATCTGCTTTCTTTACACCCACAAAGAAACAGTGAAGCTGACCTTCAGCCTGCACTTCTGCATCAACACTCCAAGCGTCCATAGTGCTCTTTCTCAGGGTGAAGCCATACTGTTGCTCACTGATCGTCTTTTCTTAACCCAGCTTCAACAGTTCTAGCGGGACAAAGCTTTTACAATACCAAACATTTATCCCTGTATTCAGTTCAATTCACTTTTCTTTCTAGCACCAAATGACAGCCTGTCTCAAGGTTCTTTATTTTGTAAGATGAAGACCCTGAAATAATATAGAGACACCCCCAACAATCAATTGAGCCTCTATGAGTAATCTACGGAAGAGGATTAGGGCCTCTGGAAAAAAAAGTGGGCATGTCTTTTTTTTCTTCTTTTCCAGAATTCCAGAATATTTTTAATCTCAGAATTCTGACTTTAAGAAGAAAAAAAAAAGTCATGCCTACTTTTTTCCCCCCCCAGTGGCCCTAATCCTCTTCCATAGCAATCACTGGGTGACAATAGGAAGGAAAAACTCTTTAACAGGAAGATACCTCTGGCAGGACCAGGCTCAGGGACAGGCACCCCAGATTGGGGGTCAAGGGAGGAAAACAGGACATAGAAAAGGCATGCATAGGCTCTGTAAACTTTTCCACAATGAAGCTAATAATTTGTGGAGTGCTTAGACAGCCTTGGTTGTCACTTAAAATGGAGCGTAATTTGAGAGAAGCCCTCTCTATGATATATTTTACCTGTGGACAGAAATTATGATACGAGCCCCGAGAAAGTCTGGATGGTCTCCAATAAATTTCTTTGTAACTTCTTGAAATGTTTTCAGAGTCCAGAACTTATCGTGAATAGTTCCATCGAGCTCGTATGTCTGCAACACAGAAAGGTTTCAGTTAGAAATGCAGAAATGTCGGATATACCGCTGCTGTAGCTGTTTAGCACAGGCTGACGCTGCAAGGATCAGGTGTAAACAAACAAACGAACCCTTGAGAGACCACTCCTCAGTTCCAGATACAGGATGTTGTCGCGGTGAAGCTCCTCTAGGC